TAGCTTATTTTTAATCTTTTTTTCTAGTATATCTTAGCTCAGATTTATTTTTACTTATTTATATCTTAGCTCATACTATTTTATTCTGTCAATTTTATGAATTTTATTGAACTGAACTTTGTATACTTTTCTGGGTTTAGCTAATTGCATTATTGACTAATGTAGCTTGGTTCATTTTAGCTTAGCACAAATTCAGATGTGAAACGCTTCCAATATTTTTAATAGTTTCTTGTTATATTATGAGATAAAAGCCATGATGATTTAATGAATATGTGTTAAAATTAAGTTCACAGAGGTTTAAATTTATTTTGTTATATCATATAATTGGAGCCTGCTGTTGTTGTTTATCCTTTGCAGCGACGAACCAATAATTTCACAAAGTTCTCTGATCTCAGCTGTAATTTTATAATGAGCTAAAACCTGATGAGCTGCAGGACTGAATGGAGACCGAGTCCTCACAAGCATAACAAAAGGCTGCTCAAACACACACCTCCACAGAGGACAGATTGTGGCCTGTTGAGCAGACAGGAAGCCTGCTGCTGAAGCCTGATGAAGAATGAGACTGACTGTGTCTCACACACTCCACAATGCCATATTCTATCCCAACATCCACGCATGAACACACACACCCCCCCCACACACACACTCCCTGCTGTTGGTGACAAAAGAACCAGGTCAGAACTGGGGTATAAGCCCCGCCCACTGCAAACACAAACTGATCCCAGACCGGTTGTTATGATTCATGGCTTTTATCAGCGTCCGCGGATTGCCTGCGTCTTTTCGGATGGTTGGTTCCCCCGACTCCGTCCCGGCCCCACAACCGGGCCGCTGGCAGAGTTTCCCTGCCCGGTTGCCATGGTTACAACTGCAGGCCATTACAGGCGTGAATACGAACATCATCAACCCCCGACCTGAAATAACCCGTCTGCAGACTCACACTGAGACACATTTCCTTCAGCTTCGTTTTTCAGACGTCGCCGACAAAAGAAGCCGGTTTCAAGTCCTGTGGAGCGAATCTGGCTCAATCTGGGAATTTGATTTGATTCAAAGCGCAGAAAAACAGAAAATCTGGAAACCGTGAACCGCGGTTAGGAGGGAAACATTAGCAAAAGTGAAGGGAGGCGTGAAAGGATAATAGGTCCAAAGAACCACAACAGAAAAGTTCAATCAAATATGTCGTTTTTATTTAATCTGTTGAAAATCAGAATCAGCCGGATCCAACAGCAGAGGATCCAGAAATACGATTCATTTCTACGGAGGGAATTTTGTTCCTTCGGTTGCAAGGAACTCGTTTAGAAATTTAAAATGAAATGCAACTCAGAAAGGAAAACTGAATCCGAAAAGGTTTTAAGAGAAACGCTGCCCATTTCTCAAATTTTATATTTTTATATTTTTGTTTTTATTTTTTGACATTTGATTATTTCTTTATTTTTCTTCACTTTGAGATTTGCAGGAAGGAAGGAAGGAAGGAAGGAAGGAAGGAAGGAAGGAAGGAAGGGTCAGTGAGGGTTACTCACCGTGTGGATGCAGTTAATCTCTTTGTTGAGTAACCATGGTAACGTGAGTTGTCCCTCTCCACGGTAACAGGACCGGATCCGTTCCTTCATTGCCAGGTTGATGTCATGCAGGGTGAAGAGACAAAGGACCGTCTCTCTGGGCGGGTTGGAGCGGTTCTTCTGACCCTGGAAACCAAAACATAAAGTCAGAGAGTCTCTGGTTCAAAACCCACAGAGGAGGAACGACAGAAGGAGACGCCACACGGGAGAGTCACCTGTGAGAAGACCACAAACAGGATGTCGTCGTCCTCGGACAGGCCGAGCGCCTGGGCCAGCCGCCGGCCCGGTTTCTGCTTGTAGGCGGCCTGGACCAGACGGTACTCCACGCCGTCTTTGGTGCAGCCCAGAGGAAACTCCACGTAGGAGTAGAACTCGGTGTCGTTGGAGCAGATCCTGACGATCTTGGAGGTGAAGAACTTCTCGCCGCCGGCGTCCATCTGGGTCAGCTGCGTGTCCAGCTGCAGCGTCAGGAAGTAGACGTAGGTGCGGCTGGAGAAGCCGTACACGTAGTAGATGTCAAAGGCCGGGTACGTGGACAGCGTGTCCGACGGGATCTTGATCTGCGAGGACACAAACTCATCCTGGTAAACCAGCAGGAACATGTGGTCGCTCTCCTCGTCGGCCACCAGCTTCCTGCTGGACAGGGTGGGGAAGTACTCCGACTTCCCGTTGATGGCGGCGCCGATGAACAGGCGGCTGCTGCCTTTCAGCGGCTTCTTCCTGCGAGACTCGGACGTCCAGTCTTCCTCTCCGACCACCACACCTGCAGAGGAGGGGGAGAGAGCGGTCAGAGGAACTGGATCAGAACCAGTTTGGTTCTACATACCAGACCTGGTGCATGAGGAAAAATCAGTACTGCATCCGACTCTGAAAACACCGTCCCCACTGCCAGACATGGAGGCGGCAGCATCATGCTGAGGGACTCGCTCCGTCCA